GCGACTGTAGCTTTTTTTCCCCAAAAAACTTTGTCTTCAAAATAAAGGGTGCATCTTATATTCCGAAAAATACAATAATCAAATTCTTTTTCACTGTTCTAATATGCAAACTGAATACTATAAACCAAAATAAAAACAAGCCATAGGTATAGGTAAATTTTTTCAGGCTTAATGATTTATTCTATTACTTTCAATTTCACTAACCTCCTTGCATAATTTAACATATGCATCTCTAACATCCTGCATGCTGCAATTACTCTGGAGTCCAAGAATCCCATAAAAGCATTTTGGTTGCACTCGACTACTATCAAGAATACATAAGAAACAAACATCATCCAATCTGTGCTATTTGTAAGCATGAACAATGTGAGCTCAGAAAAGTGATTCCCTGGAAAATGTTATTTCCCATCTGAAACACAAACTTTTCAATTCTGCATTCTAAAAAGTGAAATCTTTGATAATCTAAAATTTCTTTTACTAATGTTATTAGTAAATTAGTAATGATTTGAACAGTCCAAACACCATCAAATTCATTATTTATATGTATGCTTTTTCTAAGCCCTCAGTATTAGAAAAAAAAAGAAATAATAATGAAATACATATATATACTTACTTTTTCATTACATTCCAACTTCTAACATCACATATAATTTTAAATGCTATGAAATTGTGGTGATTTACAACTTCTAATATAATATATCAAGTGATCGAGCTAAAAGGTTAACTGAACTCCCCTGGCAACTACTAATAGGGTAATTTTAACAAACCAGACTACTACATTCTTTCCCTCTCAAAAGCAAGACCCCTCACCCTTGGGTCATATACTGACTATTTGAATACCAATTTTTCTTGAAAAAACCTAACTTTTTCATGTCTTGGAATCAAGCCCATTATTTTTCACTTGCTAACTCAGCAAAGGAGATAACCCAGTAGTAAATCACTCTTCAACAATCTAAACTACCATACATCTAATGGCTGTGAGATAAGCACAAAAACACGTTTCATGATTATTTATTATCAATAAGAACAGTCGTTACATCTGTTACAAACTTTAATATGACAGAAGGCTTGTGAAAATCACACTTAAGTTCCACTGATTCCAGCAGTCTGATACATGTTAATTGCATCTCTTTTACTCATATACTTAGTAGAAGTTCAAGAAATTATAATGTATAGCATATAAACTTCACTCATGTTACCACTTAATATTATATGCTAGCTGGTGTGGTATACAAACACTGCTAAGTCAGTAGTATGTGACACCTGAATTTTAGCCAATATTAACCTTTAACCAGTAAAGTGATTCTCTGGGGGTCATACAGAACCAAAGTTGATGGTTTTTAGAAAAACTGTAATTTGTTTAAAAAATATATGATTATGTTCAAAAGCTTCCACCAACACACCAGAAAAAACAACACTATAGTAGATAACAAATACGAAAATAAGAGTGTTTAGGGTCATATTCTGAAGTTAAAAAATGATAAAGCTCCTGGGCCAGATAATATTCCCCAAGGGTTTTGAAAGTAGTTAAGGATTGGACAAGTAAGTCACTTACTGCTAGTGCTACTGAGTTCTACGAATGTTCCGCAATACTAGTACTACTATACCAGTAACATTATATATAATTATAATGGCAATACGTTTAACTTTAGCCTTTAGGTACTATATACAGTATACTTAATATTAATAATACTTACCTATGTTTGGGAGAAAAGGAGAATGTTCTATTAAAAAGATACACTGTTTTAAATTCGTTGAGTTTTCTTATATTCATAGCAAGTAAATATTAGATATTTTAAACTCCATTTTGAAAACGTTTCTGGATATAACTTTTTGAACTTTTTCTAACACCTGCTAGTAAATAGCCCCGGATGGAGCTGAAGTCACGAACACTTTCCATATTCGGAATAGTATTCGGTAATTACAAACAGAATGGAAAACAATCAAACGTGTACATTTATAATTTTATGAAATTCGTCCGAACTTGGCTGAATTGAAAACACATCGAAAAAATCAAAACCGACAAGTCAAAATTTCTAATTATTCCGGTTTTTATTTATTGAAAAAGTGACATTATGAGTTACATATTGTTACCATAGCGGTGGTCACGTGACTCTAGTAAC